TTCCCTGACACTGCCTCTTTTCCTACAATTCACAAACAGCACAAACAAACCATTTTACCTAGGAATGAAAAATATTAGGAGAACATATGTGTGTGTATATATATATATTTTTAAGAGACAGGGTTTGCTGTTGTCCAAGCTAGAGTGCAGAGGCCATTCACAAGTGCAGTCCTAATGCACTGTATCCTTGAACTCACAGACTCAAGCAAGCCTTCTGCCTCAGCCTCCAGAATAGCTAGGACTCTAGACATGCACCACCACGCCCAGCTAGCAGATTTTAAACCAAGAGTTGAAATGTGACGTTTTGCCATATGGATTTCAGTCTCTGATAATTTTCAACTTTTACAAAAGAAAGCATTCCTGTTAAAAAACAAAGACACAATACTATAATAGAAATCATGGTTTTATAATTCACTAAAATGAGAATAACCTTTTTGCAATGTGCATAACCCTTTTGATTTGAAATGTAGATTTTAGTTCAACTCAGTGTAACAGTTACTTTGAAAAAATTTGAGTATACTCTTAAGTAATGAATTTTTTACCAAGAAAACCTTAGAGGAAGTTGTTTAGGAAATGGTGATTAGATCTATCTTGGCAAGGTCACAGAGGTAGTAGCTTGGAGGACAGTCTGGGAGAAGACAGGTATCAAAAAGTTGTAAGTTTGGGGCCTAGTTTCAGAAAGCAAAGATTTAATACATAAAAGATAAGCAGGAGACAGAACTGAAAACTGAATGAAGAAAAGGGAAGAGTTCAAAATGAATCTCAGTTTTGTCAAAGCAACTAGATGGATGGTGGTGCTAAGATGGTGAAAGCAGCATAGAGGCAGCTTGGTGGGCAGAATCGAGTGGCAAAAGCAGACATCGTGTTAACAGTAAAGTTCATGAACCTGGGGGACATTTAAGAAGCGGTTATTGTGTAGAGCAGTGATTTTCAAGCAGTGTGCCATGAGAGGATCTTAGGTGTGCAGTGAACTTTTTTTTTTTTTTTTTGAGACAGAGCCTCAAGCTGTCCCCCTGGGTAGAGTGCTGTGACATCATAGCTCACAGCAACCTCTAACTCCTGGGCTCAAGCGAGTCTCCTGCTTCAGCCTCCCAGGTAGCTGGGACCACAGGTGCCTGCCACAATGCCTCGTTATTTTTTTTGGTTGCAGCCATCATTGTTGTTTGGGTGGGCCTGGGCTGGATTTGAACCCGCCACCTTAGGTGTATGTGGCTGGTGCCTTAGCCACTTGAGCCACAGGCGCTGAGCCTGCAGTGAACATTTTTAAAGATCATTAATTAAATTATCTTGGAAAGTAGTTCAAAGCACAGTATTTTTTTTTCTTTTCTGAGATAATCTATTTTGTCACCCTTCGCAGAGAGCTGTGGCATCACAGTTCACAGCAACCTCAATGCAAACTGTTGGACTCAAGCAATCCTCTTGCCTCCACCTCCTGAGTAGCTGGGACTACAGGTGCCCACCATAACGCCCAGCTATTTTTAGAGATGGGGTCTTGCCCTAGCTCTGGGTGGTCTCGAACTAATTAGCTCAGGGAATCCACCTGCCTTGGCCTTAGTATATTCTTTTTTTTTTTTACCTTTTTTTTTTTTTTAACTCAACATAATTTAAGTGTGCCACCAAAGTTCAACTATAGGTTCAAGTGTGCTGTGAGATAAGAAAGGTTGAAAAACACTGGTAGATGCATCTAAAGTTCAAGAAGGGGTTTGCTGAAGTTGAAATTCTGCAGGCCAAAAAATAGCTATATGGAGATGCCACACAGTCACTTTCTCACTACATGTGAAGATAAACAAGGTTGGAAAAACAATAATCTTGACACAGGATGGCGTGTTGAAGCACAAGCTTATCTTCCCGTATGGTGGTATTTGGTACCACGGTCAGAAACACATCATTGAGCTAAATGGGTCATAGCACTGTGCCAGTATGGTAGTTCTTAAGTGTGTATGTGTATTTTATGAAACCTAATTGAGACCAGATTAATACGCATTGTAGAGATTTGTGTTTTACAATGTATTGGGTTTATCTTTAATATGGCACTTCTCACCAGGCCCCATGGGACTGCTGTTCAGTTAGTGAACATGAAGTTTTGGGTTTTTCATTAGATCTTTTTTCCATTTTGATGTCAATATAAAGGATGTTTTTACATTAAATCTTATTTCCATGTCAATATTAGATACATTTTTCTATTTTTTTTTCCCCCCAAGGATGAAAGTTTTAATTTTTGGCTATTTTGTATCTAAATACAGTATTAACTTGAGCGATAAAACAAAAACCTGGTAAAATTATGAAGGAGAGACTCCTCAACAATTCAGGGGACAGCGATTATAACGGAATAGTGGCAATTTCCTAGGATTCTGGGGAAAAGCTTCCTCTTCCTGTTTCACATGCTTTGAAAATATAAAAACTGGCTTGGTACCCTGGCTCAAGTGGCTAAGGCACCAGCCACATACACCTAAGTTGGCAAGTTCATATCCAGCCCGGGCCACCAAACAACAATGATGGCTGCAACCAAAAAAATAGCTGGGCATTGTGGCGAGCGCCTGTGGTCCCAGCTACGTGGGAGGCTGAAGCAGGAGACTTGCTTGAGCCCAGGAGTTGAAGATTGCTGTGAGCTGTGATGCCACAGCACTCTACCCAGGGAGATAGTTTGAGGCTCTGTCTCAAAAAAAAAAAAAAAAAAAAGAAAAGAAAATATAAAACCTGTGAAATGTTGCGTATGTACATTTCAGCCGGCTTACTTCTGACTCCCTTTCTAGTCAGCAAATACAAACTACAGGTTGCATTTTCAGTGCATTACTTGTAAAGAAAACAATCCCCCCCCATTTATGTATACCCATTTGCCATTTTTTTTCTTTCTTTTTTTTTTTTAAGACAGTTTTGCTCTGTTGCCTGGGCTAGAGTGCCAAGGCCTCAGCCTGGCTCACAGCAACCTCAAACTCCTAGGCTCAAGCAATCCTCCTGGAAATTTTTGTATTTTTAGTAGAAACAAGTTCTCACTCTTGCTCAGGCTGGTCTCGAACTACTGACCTCAATAGATCCTCCTGCCTTGGCCTCCTACAGTGCTAGAATTACAGGTGTGACCCACTACATCCAGCCTCAATTTGCTCCCATTTTAAGGGAGACAACTAAACATATAAAACTGACCTATTTACCGTTTCTTGGAAATTTTCAGACACCAAAGCTCAGGTTTAGCTTCAGTAGCAAAAAGGTTTTCAAGGTGTCCACCGCTCTTCCATGCATATACTCCCACAAGAGCACAGAGGTCTGTAATGCTGAGAACCTCAGCTAACAAAAAAGTTATTGCAGGGTGGTGCCTGTGGCTCAAAGGAGTAGGGTGCTGGCCCCATATACCGGATGTGGTGGGTTCAAACCTGGCCCCAGCCAAAAACTGCAAAAAAAAAAAAAAGAGAGAAAATTATTGCACCTCTGACTTTCACTGCCTCAAACAACAGGCAGTACCAAAAAAGCATGAAATGAGGACTAAGAGCTATTATGTTGAATCTGGGGCCACGATGTTAGGATCTTGAGGGCTGAAGGTTCCAAAGAAATGGTATATGTGTAATTCTATCTGACTTGAAATTTTTCCTTCCTAGAGCTCTAGATGCTAAGGCTAACAGGTTCCACCTGACGGCCTATTACTCTAGGAAGCAGCCATTACAGGAATCCTGTTGTTGAATATATTTTATTTATGGGCACAAATTGTTGAATGATGCAAAACAAATTTTATTACACAAATTATTACTATAGCATTGCTTGACAAAATAAATAAGGTTAATTATTGAATGATATATTACCTTCATTTACATTCTCTTGGTTGGGGGGGTATAACTAACTTAAAAAAGTAATAAAACTACCTTAATAGTATTTGACATAAAACTTGTAACAAGAGAAAAACATTAACAAACTTGAAGAGATAATAAAATCAAAGCTTGCCTATGGATATTAAAAATAGATTCATTAATTACCACCATCGCTATTACTAGTTAATGTTTATTGATTACTTCCTCTGTGCTTGAACGACTCTTAAGCATTGTACTCGTGTTACCTCATTTGATGCTCGCAACAGCTGTGAGGTAGGCGTTATTGTTACCCTCATCCTCGTTTTAGAGGAGGAAACTGAGGCACAAAGAGACTAAGGAGCATGCCTCAGGACACATAACTGAGTAGCAGCAGGGTGGGAATCTGGACCTAGATGGTTTGACAAAACGTATGAGATCAAACAAAAGTCAGGAATGAAAAATGGGCTAGTCTCTTATTTAACAATGCATGTAATCTACACCTATCATTATAATATCTAAAATTAGTAGTTCTGGATCTTTGTTTTGGAAAATGTATCAACAATTAAGACAATTTTTACAAATACAGGAAGAAAAAAATCATGGATTAAGACATGGAAGAGAATAACAGTCCTACTGTATGTTTGGTTTAGTATTTGCTTGTGCATAGAAATGATTCATGAGTCAAATAAGGCCTAAATGTGAGAAAGTTTTGCTTTCATTATCTAATTTCCACTTTATTCCATATCATTTTCCCAAACATATTTTCCCAAGCCATAAGTATGAAGAGAACATACTTATTGTTTGTGCTTATATGTAAAAGATGACCTGATAAAAGATATAATTAATGTCAAAGTTATCTGCAAATTTCAAACTTAATTTGTGAATTATGCTTATAAGTATCTTTTTGGAAGTTCTAACTAGATAATTATCCAACAAAAAATGAAGTGAAAAGTAAAATAATCTTTTTCTTTGAAAACATCTCCGCGGTTTTGGTGTCTGTCATGGACAAATTCTGATAATAAAACAGGAATGGCTCTTGAAATCTTAAGGTGATTTCAAGGACTGTGAACATCTCTGAATTTGTTTGCATGTGAGTATATTACAACTGTCCTTGCCAGATCTGCATGGGAAAAAAATCCACCCATAAGCCAAATTCTCAGATTAGCCCTTGTTACAAACTGACAATCACCACATTTTGAACTTGATAAATAAAAAAATACTGAACAATATCAAAAGAAAATGAATTTCCATAATTAATACAAATAAAAACTTAATATGATGTTGATGTATTATGTGTGTTTCAGATCACCAAGTCAACTGTTCAACTACTTTACCAATCTCTGTAAATACTGAAGGATAATATAATTCAAGATGCCCTGCAGAGGAGGATTACTCTGGGAATTTGGTGAATTCTCTCATGTTTGGACCTCTGAAGTAAAAAACAAAGCTATTACCAAAAGTTTAATGAGGCCACAGCATTTTTTAACGTTCATATAGTCTGCTATTTAAATTATATTTTTGTGAATATAAAAATATAATTAAAAACTTCTTTTTTGGTGGAAGACAGATATCGTTCAAATTTCTTTTCCATTAAACAGTTGCTTCTGGAGATGAAGAATGATTTGGTAAAGCAGTAAGCAATACATTTTCCAAAGACACCAGAGGGTCTGTATAGTACTGTAAGGCAGGACTGAATCCCTTCTGCTGCAAATACTGGATTCGACCTTGGTCAATGAGCAATTTACAAAGATGCCCTATTTTCTTCTTTTCTTCAACAGTAAGAAGCCTAAATCAAATAAATACACACAAAACACTATTAAAATTTATGTTTATTGAAAGACTACTAAATAATGCATAATATATCAGGTGCTATGTCCCATGCTTCCAAGACACATTTTATTTATGGCTACAGTAAAAATGTGTGTATTTTAACTTATTCTAAAATAAGACTATTAAATACATGCCCACGACTAAATTGTTGGCAGTGGTCACCTAACGGAAAGTATAGCCATAATCTGTCTCCTTCAGTGCTGTGCATTACAGAAGCAGTCACTTACCCAGGCAAGCTTTCAGTGCTGTCATCTGTGATTCCACATCCTCCCTCTTCATGCTCTTCACTGTCATCGTTCGGATTATCTTTCCTCTTCGTGGTACTATCTGAGGCTTCCATAGCTGTTTTCCGCATCCCACAAGTCGCCCAACTACTCATTCGCTGGAAATAGTGGAATTCCACTGCTCCAAGGCCCAGAGCCCTGAAATACTCTTTGCCCACATAATGTCTCCAATCACACCTGTGGTGACAACAGAGTGCAATAACAATGCCAGCCACAGGGGTCCACTTCTCTGGGACATTTTTTTCATTTCCTTCCTTGGCCAAAGTGTTAATTTCTTTTTCTGTTTTATCATTCTTTATGCGTTTGGCTAAAGGTTCTTCATTTCTTTCCTCACAACTGGCAGCATAGGTTTCAACCAAACATCGTAATGCAAGATCTGCAAACACAATTATGTGGCCCCCAAACCACATCATCTTTAAAAATAAATATTTTTCACATCAATACAAACCTACTTAGCTTTATACTTATAATAATTTTACCATCAATTATCAATTTTGTTAAATTTGCCCTTTCTTACTATCCTCTCAATTTCTCTAATTGATTTATTCTGTATACAGCGTACTTCCCAATAAAAACTATGTGAAGCTTAAGAGCTACAACATGAAAAACTTTTAGTCCAGCTACCTGAATTTATCTTCATTTCTCTTATGTTAGCTGAGGAAAGAACTTGTATAGAAAGAATTTATTCACCTGCACTTAAATACCATCTTACGAAATACAAAGAAATTTAAAAAGGCAGTCCTGCTTAGGTTGATGCTAGGTCAAGATAGTCTTGAAACGTAAATTCACAACAAAAAGCAGAGAGCAGGGGGTCAGAATGCAGAAAGCAGCCTCTGTGAGCAGCAGCCTTAGTGTGTACACACACAAACACACACACACACACACTCAGCAAACATTCACTGAATGCCTTTCATCTGCAAAGCATTGAGGATGGAACAATGATTGATACAAATTTAGAGGTGGGTGCACTGCATATTAAAATGTAAAAGAATTAGTACATTTTAAAACTAAATAAATGGATTTTTTGATGATGTTGGCTACTTCCCATTGAGAATAGCTATAATGTTGACAAGATTGTAATGACCCCAAATGTAAAATCCACATTGTCTAATTAGATTGTCATTTTGTGTCTGTTCAACCAAAAACATATATATTTAAAAATTTTATGACCCGGTGGCACCTGTAGCACAGTGGGTAGGGCGCCAGCTACAAACATTGAGGCTGCCAGGTTTGAACCCAGCCTGGGCCAGCTAAAACAAAAATGACAACAACAACAACAAAAATAGCCAGGCATTGTGGCAGGCACCTGTAGGCCCAACTACTTGGGAGGTTGAGGCAAGAGAATCGCTTAAACCCAAGAGTTTGAGGTTGCTATGAGCTGTACCCAGGGTGACAGTTTGAGACTCTATCTCAAAAAAAAAATGATGACCCTAAATTGTCACAAGTATTTAATGACCTGAAATCTCAGTAGTAAGTTTAAATCAACATATAAATTTAATCCAATAAATATTAGAAACCTATTATTTAGAGAAATTCATAGCTAATGTAACATTTGATAAGCTATTTTCTGGCAAAATATATCCAGTCACTATTTTATTCATAAGTAAATGATTTTCAGAAATGTGAATAACTACAATTTTTAAAAGAATTATTTCAGAATTAGACATAGCTTTAGCAATTTATCTCTGCCCCTCCTTTAAGTGACAAAGTCATAGAGATAGAAATGGATGAGGAAAAAACTGAGATTTTCATTCCTGCCAACATGTACTGAGTTCCTGTGACATAACAAGCACTGCACTAGCATATGCCTATGCTCAAAAAATTCATAACATACTGGGAGAATCAGATAAACAAACAGATAATTAAGATATAATATTATGGCAATACTAAGGAGGCATATCTTATTCAAGAAGGCTCCTTCAGTGTGGTGACAGCAGTGCTGAAGGAGGAGTAGAAACTGACCAGTTCTACTGTTTGGGTCAGTGGGGGGGAGGGGGTAGAATTATAGGTATAGTAGAAACAATATGGTAAATGGAAAACTACACAGGGTTTGATGTTGCTGAATATAAAGACGGAGACAAGGAACGGTAAAGAGAGGAAGGCAGAAGCCAGCTTGAGGCTAGAATGTTATGTCAGAGTGTGGACTTTATTTTGCAGGGCACTGGAAACTATTAAAGGGTTTAAAGAAGGTGAAACACATTAGGTGTGTAGCAGATGGGCCTGAATATTAATATTTAAAGGACAGTTAGGGGAGGGAGACCATGAAAGAAATGGAAAGAATAGCATAGAAGTAGGGAAAGTGTGTTACAAACGAGAAGGAAACAGAATTTCAAAAAGGGTAATAAGCAACTGCAGCAGAGATGGTGGGAGGATGCAGTAGATCAAAGGGGAAAAGTGTGCAGAATGTGAGAAACGGTGGCTGTAGGCTATAATCTGGATTGGATGGGAGGAGTAAAGGAGTGTCCTCCCTTCACCCCAAGACAGAATCGGTTTAGTTCAGAAGGCTTTCAATAATATAAGGTATGAGAAAGAATAGCCATGCTTTGCTTAAACAATGCGGATACATTCTGAGCAATGCACTCAGAGGTGATTTCATTCTTGTGCAACAACACAAAGGATGTAACACTTACTTATACAAACCAACATACCCAGGCTTATACTACCACCTACTCAGGCTATATGGCACAGCATATTACTCCTAGGCTACAAACCTACACAACACGCTTCTGTACTGAATACCGCAGCTAATTTTAACACAGTGGTTAAGTATTTGTGTATCTAAACAGAAAAGTTATAGCATAAATACAGTATTATAATCTTATGGGACCACCACTGTCCATGCACTCAACTGTTGACAAAAACGTCATTATGTGCTGCAGAACTGTAGTCTGAAAACAACGAAGGACAATGTGAATATGCAGTATTTGAAGCTATTTCCAGGCAATCTGAATAATGTTTTATGGAGGGTCCAAGTTCTTCATGATGGGTAGACAGTGAAACTAGCAGCAGGCAGGATGATGATGTAACAACAGCTAACATAATATGTGCCAGACACTTTACATGTAATCTGGTAAATTATGTTAGTATTCCCATTTTATAGATGAGGTAACCAAAGTTCAGATAAGTTATCTGGCAAGGTTATGCAACAGAGCTAAAGGCTAGACTATCTGATTCCAAAGCACATGCTGTTTTTACTTTATCCTGCTAGATCTGATATACAGAAGTGGTATGACAAGATATATTTGATTTAAAAAATTAAAAAAAATTTTTTTTTGTAGAGTATGTTGCCCAGGCTGGTCTCAAACTCCTGGCCCTAAGAGATCCTCCTAGCTCAGCTTCCCAAAGTGCTAGGATTATAAGTATGACCCACTACACCTGGTCTAGACTTTTTTGGTGTAAAATTTTTTTTTTCTTTTCCCCCGTCATGCTGAAATACAATAATCTTTTTTTTTTTTTTTTTGAGACAGAGTCTCATTGTGTCGCCCTAGTTTGAGTGCTGTGACATCACAGCTCACAGCAACCTCCAACTCTTGGGCTTAAGCAACTCTCCTGCCTCAGCCTCCCAAGTAGCTGGGACTACAGGCACCCTCCACAATGCCCAGCTATTTTTTGATTGCAGTTGTCATTATTGTTTAGCAGGCCTGGGCCAGCCTCGAACTCACCAGCCTCGGTGTATGTGGCTGGCGCCCTACTCACCGAGCTACGGGCACTGAACCAGAAAGACAATAATCTTATAGTGGGATAGATTTTAAGAGTTCTTTCTAAGCAATGCCTCTAAAGAAACCAGAAGCATCTCAGGTGGAATCATGCATTTTCTATAAATGGTCTGTTTCCTTTTTCCAATTGCAATATAAACTAAAGCAATTTAAAGCCCAATATGATGTAATAGTTACATATAAAATCTTTTGTCATTCTGCAAAATGGCCAAAATGAGAAGATAAATAGGAAAGCCCTGTATTTGATACAATATAGGGCCAATGCTCCTATAAAGATTAATAAGTTGTAAACATAAGAAATCTAAAAGAGTCCATTGACATGGTTGAAACCAGGTGAAGTCAGAACTTAATGTGTTAATTTAGACATCATTATTGTGCTTACATACCTGTCGCCACACCACACAGATGCTTTCCAATTCCTACCACAGGTAGTTTTCTTTCTTTTAGCACAGGAATCTTGTCTAAAAAAAGGAAAGTAAGAATTAAGCTAGCTTCTCATGAGAGAAAGTATGTGTTTATGTAGGCTTCTGAGAAAAAGAATTGATCAGAGTCTTTGAATTGGGGGGGGTAAAAGAGACTTGAATAAAACATTCTCACTTTACAGAACTCAACATATGAAATAATAAATCCTTTAGTATTCATGACATCAATTAATATATCCAGTTAAATACAATTTATATACAAATGATGGTATACGTCTCAAGGTTGGATTAGAATTAGTGGAAGAAGCTGCTGAGATACATTTTGATGATTTTCTTTTTAAATAATCTGAAAAACTACAGGAAAAGGCCACTGAAGAGAATGATTGAGGTGTGAACACATTTGTGTATGGAACTGAGTTCCACAGCAAGAACTTATTGGTATCATTTATTTATTGAAACAGTCTTTACTCGGTTGCCCTTGGTAGAGTGCTGTAGCATCACAGCTCACAGCAACCTCAAACTCCTGGGTTCAAGTGATCCTCAGCCTCCCCAGTAGCTGGGACAATAGGCATCCACCACAACACCTTGCTAGTTTTTTCTATTTTTAGTGGTGACGGGGTCTTATTCTTGCTCAGGCTGGTTTCAAACTCCTGAGCTCAAGTGATCCACACACATTGGCCTTCCAGAATGCTAGGATTATAGGTGTAAGCCACTGTGCCAGGCCTCCTTTGGCACAATTTAAAATTATACTAAGTATCCTTTACATCTTAGCTAGGCAGAGAACTATCTCATTTTCTTTAATGGTTTTGGTAAAGTCATTTAACCACATTCAGAAGGCTAATTTATGGCATGAACAGACTCAAATTAATTTAAACAGGACAAAGAAGCTACATAAGTACACATTATCAAAACTTTTTAAATTCTTCCCTAATATAACACTTCCTTTCCTTAAATTCTTCCCTAATATAACCTTCCTTCCTTAGTTGAAAAACAACTAAGTTTCAACTCTAATTCATTTTACAATATTTTTAACGTTACATAAAACATTACATAACAATCGGGGATTAATAGTGCCCTTCTCCCTGCAGCACTGTTCTGCAGGACTGGATTTCTAAGCAACTCTCAGCGTGAAACTTATTGACGGCAGAGCAATGGAAAGTTATGCAACTTACTCAAACACAAGTGTTGAATATCGATTTGAAGTCTTTCAAACACTGAATTTTTCTTCCTGTGTTTACCATCTACCTGCACAAACAGAACATTATTGTAACAATGACTTTTTACGTTAAAAAAAGCTTTATAAAAATAAAAGATGTTTTTGTTTTCAAAATTCAGATTAAGTTTTCATCTTAGTTTTATAATAGTATTAAAAATAGAATGAATAAAAAATTAAGACTGTATATTCGTTGATAAAAACTCTAATATCACGCATTTTGTAGGTATAGAAATTTTATCAATTATTATGTATTTCCCTTACCTTTGTTATCCCTAGCATTGTATTCTTTTTAAAGAAGCTATTTTATTAATAATAGATTTTCACATGATTCAAATTCTAAAAGGGAATGTTCCTTCTGTTTTTATAGTTTTATAGTTTTTTCCCTGAGCCACACAAAGACAAATAACAGTTCATTTAAATACGTCAAAAACCAACAGAGATTCACTACTATTTATTTTCCTTTGTATTCATTTTAATGCATTTTTAATCCCATACCACTGGTTGGCAAACCAGCCCTAACAGTTTCTATGCCCTATAATGCATTTCAATCATTTCTAATAAGCGGAAACTTTAAGATGGCATATCATTATCTCTGTAAGCTCCTGGAAGTGAACTCTCCCTGAACTGTAGCATTCCAGCTAATGAAAGTAGATGTGGAAACACTATTCAAATAAACAAAAGTGCTTAGATTTTTCTTGGCATACTATTTTTGGCTCACTTCTCTTCTGACTCTCCCTATACATCACAGCAATTCTAATCTATGCCTTTGTGCCTGTAGCTTACTGATCTTTATTCGTGGCCCAGATCTCTCTAATAAGCACGAGACATATATCCATTTGTGAACTAGAAAGTTCTACTTCAACAGCAAACTGAGCACATTCGGGACTGAAATCATTATTTCTCCTTCAAACTTATCCTTCTTCTTCTTCCTCCTTTATTCCCTACCTGAAGGAATGGCAGCACTTAATCGATTAAGCCTTAAAAATGCTATCCCAAATTGTTCCTTCTCCCTCATATTCAATGATTAATAAATCACCAAGTTTTGTGCTTTCCAGCATCCTGACGTTTTTTGTACTCTTACCTTTCTCTCTATCCCAATGCAACAGCCTTAGTTCTGGCCCAGTTTTTTACTAGTATTATTGGATTCAAAGTATCTTATTAATCTTCCTACTTTAAGTATCAGACTCTTCTTACATAGTTTTAATGGTGCTGCTAGGATAAACTTTTTTTTTTTTTGAGATAGAGCCTCAAGCTGTCACCTTGGGTAGAGTGCCGTGGCATCACAGGTCACAGCAACCTCCAACTCCTGGGCTCAAGCGATTCTCCTGCCTCAGCCTCCCAAGTAGCTGGTGGGACCATAGGCGCCCACCAAAACGCTCAGCTATTTTTTGGTTGCAGCTGTCATTGTTGTTTGGTGGGCCCAGGCTGGATTCGAACCTGCCAGCTCAGGGGTATGTGGCTGGTGCCTTTGCTGCTTGTGCCACAGGAGCTGAGCCAGGATAAACTTTTTTTTTTTCTTTAAAGAGCAAGGTCTCGTTCATTCACTCAGGCTGGAGTACAATCGTCTGGTTGTAGCTCACTGTAACCTTGACCTTCTGGTCTAAAGCAATCCATCCTCCTTCCTTAGCTTCTCAAAGTACTAGGATTACAGACATAAGCCACTTCCCCCAGGTAGGATAAACTTTTAAAGACCTGTTTTTACTTGATCAACTCCTATATATTCTTCAATCTCCTCACAGGTGTCACTTCTTCCATGAAACCTGTGTGACCCACACTACACTGAGGTTGGTGCTCTACCTTCATATTCCCACAGCATTAGGTACTTATCATTATCATAACTTAGCCTACTGAACCAATTTATACAACTACTCCTATTCCCCTAGACATAAATTCTTTAAGGAAAGAACTAACTCTTATTTCTACTGTAGCCCTAAAACATAGCAGGATAAAGCCAAACTTCTTCTTCAGCATACAATACACATGTGAACTCTTCCATAGACTACCACTCCAGTCTCATTACTGCCGAACTCCACCCGGCACCATGTACTCTCCTAACAGAAATGTTCCCATGGGCATTTGGTTATGCTGTTCTTGCTTCAAGTGCTTTTCTTTTTTTTTTTTTTGCAGCAGAGCCTCAAGCTATCCCCCTGGGGAGAGTGCCATGGCATCACGCTCACAGCAACCTCCAACTCCTGGGCTCAAGCGAGTCTCCTGCCTCAGCCTCCCAAGTAGCTGGGACCATAGGCGCCCGCCACAATGCCTGGCCATTTTTTGGTTGCAGCCATCATTGTTGTTTGGCAGGCCCGGGCTGGGGATTCGAACCCTCCACCTTAGGTGTATGTGGCTGGCGCCTTAGCCGCTTGAGCCACAGGCGCCGAGCCGCTTCAAGTGCTTTTCAAACCCTCCATATAGCAAACAATTTATTTTTCAAGATTTGTCTCAAGATCATTTTTTCTGTGTAGTAGATCATTCTCCATCTTCTCCCAACAATAAAAATTGGTACATCTTCCAAGGAATGCCAACTATTCTGTGTAGACTTTAATATTTTAACATGTAACTTAGTACAAACATTTGTTTATTTGCCTGTCTCTCCTTTGTAAACATAAGAGAGCAGAGATACCTTGTCTTATTTGACATTTTTTTTTTTTTTTTGAGACAGAGCCTCAAGCTGTCCCCCTGGGTAGAGTGCCGTGGCATTACAGCTCACAGCAACCTCCAACTCCTGGGCTCAAGCAAGTCTCCTGTCTCAGACTCCTAAGTAGCTGGAACCACAGGTGCCCGCCACAGCGCCCGGCTATTTTTTGGTTGCAGCTGTCATTGTTGTTTGGCGGGCCCGGGCTGGATTCTAACCTGCCACCTTAGGTGTATGTGGCTGGCACCTTAGCCACTTGAGCCACAGGCGCCAAGCCTGACTTTTTTCACTCAACATCTACCATGGTGCTTGGCAATAACCTCAGTAATGGTTCACTGAATTAATAGTTACTGGTGAAGGTGGGAGTAGGAACCAAGACTTTTTTGTTTAGGTCTTGCTTTGTTACCCAGGCTGGAATGCAGTGTCCTTATTGTAACCTTGAACTCCTGGGCTCAAGTGACCTTCATAAAATAGCCTCTCAATAAGCTAAGAGTACAGGTGTGTTCCACCATGCTCAGCTGATTTTTTCACTTTTTAGTAGAGACAGTATCCTGTTATGTTGTCCAGGATGGTCTCAAACTCTTGGCCTCAAGCATTCCTTCCGCTGTGGCCTCCCAAAGTGCTGAGATTACAGGTGAGAATCATTATGCCCAGCTGAGGACCCAAGACTTTTTTTTTTTGAGACAGAGTCTTACTTTGTCACTCTTGGTAGAGTGCCGTAGTGTCATAGCTCACAGCAACCTCAGACGATTCTATCTGCCTACCTCAGCCTCCCAGAGTGCTGGGACTACAGGTGTGAGCCACTGTGCCCCCAGCCCTAACCCAAGACTTTTAACTCTTAGCTTGGTTCTTTCTATGTATTTTACTGTCTCTGCAAGTAATTTCAAGGACTCAGATCAACGGATTATCAAAACTTAAATTTAAAAAATCAGAATGAGAGGCCAAGATGGTAGACTAGAAGCAGTTTGCTCTTGTTGCTCTCTCAAGGAGATGATAAAAGATTATGGGTAGAGGTTCACCTGTAGGAGGACTGTCTCAGAGAGAGCACTGTCAATCACCTGAGAAGTGAACAGAGACACCCGAGGCAGGAGAGAGAAGCAAGTTAATCCACTTGGCAAGACTGAAAGGTACTATGGGAATAGGTTAGGACAGAGACCTCTGGGACTCTGTACTTCCCTAGTAGAGACTGAAATCCAAGCTGGAGGGGGCCCCCCTCCACCATAGCACTGAATTCTACATAAAGTCGTGGAAATTAAACAATCTGCTCCGAATGATCTTTGGGGAAAACAATGAAATTAAGGTGAAAATTAAGATTCCTTGTACTAAAGGCAAAGGGGACAAAAGCTTTCAAAATCTATGGGATACAGAAAAAGTAGTTCTAAGGGAAAAATTCTTAAATGCTTACAAAGGGCAGTGCCCACAGCTCAGTGGGTGAGAGTGACAGCCACATACATTGGGGCTGGCAGGTTTGAATCTGGCCTGGGGCCTGCTAAAACAGCAATGACAATTGCAACAAAAGAAATGGCAGGCATTGTGGCGGGTGCCTATAGTCCCAGCTACTTGGGAGGCTGAGGCAGGAGAATAGCTTAAGCCCAGAAGTCTGAGGTTGCTGTGAGCTGTCACACCAGGGCACTCTATCCAGGGTGACAGCTTGAGACTCTGTCTCCAAAAAAGACACAAGTATCACAAAAGTGACACTCCAACTGATACTGTAGTCATACATCATCTGTGAATGCCATAAAAACCTCTATGCAAACAAAATACAAAGCCTAGAGAAAATGGTTAATTCCATAAAACACACAACCTCTTAAGCCTGAATCAGGAAGAAACAGAATCCCAGACAGAACAATAATGAGCAGTGAGAATAAAACAGTAATAATGATAATTTAAAAAAATCTCTCCAGCACAAAAAGCCCTGGACCAGATGGATTCACAGCTCAATTCTACCAGACCGACAAAGAGGAACTGATACCTATGCTATAGAAATTATTCCATACAGAGAAGGATGGAACCCTCCCCAACTCAGCCTATGAAGCCAGTATCAGTTTGATACCAAAGCCAGGAAAGGAAATAACAAGAAAAGAAAACTAAAGACCAATACGAACATGGATTCAAAAATTCTCATCAAAATACTAGCAAACTAAACCCAAAGCACATCAAAAAGATAATTCACATGACTACCTGGGTTTCATCTCAGGGACACAAAGGTGACTTAATATATGCAAATCAACAAAGTCATTCACCACATAGACAGAAGCAAAAACTAAAACCATATGATCATTTCAACAGACGCAGAAAAAGCATTTGATAAATTTAGCACCATTTCATGAAAGAAAACCCTCAACAAACTAGGCACAGAAGGAACATAATTCAAAATTATAAAAGTCATATATTATACCAATATCATACTGAATAGGGAAAAGCTGAAAGTATTCCCCATAAGAACCGGAACAAGACAAGGGTACCCACTGTCACCACTTCTATTCAACATAATACTGCAAGTCCAAGCCAGAACAATCAGGTAAGAGGCATCAAAATTGGGAAAAAGAAGGTCAAACTATCCCTGTATGCTAATGATATGATTTTGTATCCAGAAAACTCTAAAGACTCCACCAAAAACCTCCTAGAATTGATAAGTAAATTCAGCAAAGCCTCAAGTTACAAATCAATGCACACAAATTAGTAGCATTATATATATTAATAACAGTCAAACTGAGACTCAAATCAAGGACTCAATACCATTCATAATAGCTAAAAAGAAAATAAAATAAACTAGGAATACACTTAACCAAAGAGGTGAAAGGCAAACTATGAAACATTGATGAAAGAAGCCACCAATGACACAAACAAATGGAAAAACATTACTTGCTCATTGATTGACAGAAATAAACACCATTACAATGTCCACACTGCCCAAAGAGATGTACAAATTCAACGCAATTCCCAGCAAAATACAAACATCTTACTTCATAGACTTAGAAAAACTAATCCTAAGCTTCATTTGGAACCAAAAGCACTCATAAGCAAACAAACAAGCCTCCTTCCCCGAAATCTGGAGGCATCACATCACCTGATTTCAAATTATACTACAAGACCACAGCAATAAAAATAGCATGGTATTGGTGAAAAGTAGAGACAAAGACCAATGGAACAGAATAGAGAACTCAGAAATAAAACTACAGAGCTATGATCAAATGATTTTCCACAAAGCATACGACAGCATACACTGGGGAAAGGAAGCCCTGTTCAATAAATGGTGCTGGGAAAATTGGATCACCACATAGGAAGAATGAAACAGAACTCCTATCTCTCAGCATATACAAAAATTAATTCAAGATTGATAAAAGAATTAGGTGTGACACATGAAACCATTAAAATTCTAGAAGAAAAAGCAGGAAAAAGGGCAGTGCCTATGGTTCAAGGAGTAGGGCGCTGGCCCCATATACCGGGGGTAGAGGTTCAAGCCTAGCCCTGGCCAAAACTGCAAAAAAAAAAAAAAAAAGGAAAAAGTAGGAGAAACCCTTTGATACACTGACCTATGCAAACACTTAAAACTAGGACCCCAAAGGCAATTAATTATAGCAACAATAAAAATAAACGGATCTTAATTAAATTAAAAAGTTTTCTGTACTATAAAGAAAATAATAGAGATAATAGACAATTTACTGAATGTGAGAAAAAATATGTGCAAGTTATATATCCAAAAAAAGACCAATATCTGGGAGGCGCCTGTGGCTCAGTGAGTAGGGCGCCGGCCCCATATACCAAGGGTGGCGGGTTTGAACCCAGTCCCAGCCAAACTACAACCAAAAAATAGCCAGGCATTGTGGTGGGTGCCTATAGTCCCAGCTACTCGGGAGGTTGAGGCAAGAGAATCACCTAGGCCCAAGAGCTGGAGGTTGCTGTGAGCTGTGACACCATAGTACTCTACCAAGGGCAACAAAGTAAGACCCGTCTCTTAAAAAAAATGACCAATCTCCAGAGTCCATGAGAACTCAAACAAATAAGAATGAAACAAACAATGCCATTAAGAAGATGGGAAAAGACATGAAGAGAAATTTTCAAAGACAGAAAAATGGTCTATGAATATATGAAAGTACCAGGCATAGTGGCTCATGTCTAGCCCTCTAGGAGGCCAAGACAGGAGGACTGCGTGACCTCAGGATTTCGAGACCAGCCTGAGCAAGAGTGAGATCCTGTCTCTACAAAGAATAAAAAAAAAATTAGCCAGGCATTGTGGCAGGTTCTTATAGTTCCAGCTGCTAGGGAGGCTGACACAGGAGGATTGCTTGAACCCAAGTGACTGAGGTTGCTGTGAGCTAGGCTGACACCACAGCACTCTAGCCTGGGACAACAGAGTGAGACTGTCTCAAACAAACAAACAAACAAGCAAGCAAACCACAGAAATATACATATACAAAATGCAAAAAAATTATCAATCAGGGAAATTCAAATTCAAACTTAAGATACCATCTAATCCCTCTCAGAATGGCCATTATGAAGAAGTGAACAAAGACTTCTGGTATGGATGCAGACAGACAGGAATGCCTATATACTATTAATGGGACTGCAAATTAGTATAGCCTCTATGGATAACAGCAGCGAGATTCCTCAAAGAAATAATTGTAGATCTACCATTTGATTCAGCATCCCACCGCTGGGTATCTACCCAAAAGGAAATGAAGTTATTTTATCAAAACAACCCCCTACATTTGAATGCTTATAGGAGCACAATTCACAATTGCAAAGATGTGGAATCAATCTGAGCACCCATCAATTCATGAGTGGATAAAGAAAATGTGGTGTGTGGGGTGGCGCCTGTGGCTCAAGGAGTAGGGCACCAGCCCCATATGCGGGGGGTGGCGGTTTCAAACC